GTATACAGTACTGCAACAACTGGGAATGTTACCACTTTTGAGATAAATGGGCGCTGTAATTTTCAAGCCTGATGTATTTTTAAATAGTCTGAACACTTTGCATTCCCAGGATTGGGAGAAAGAACAGAAATTTCAAAAACTAGAGCAAAAGGCAAATCTAAAATTCAAATACGTGTATAAATAAGAAACCAGAAATGATGCAGGCTGCAGAATATGTGTTAGTGGAATCAGTCCTGGTTTGCAATCTGTTGGAAGGGATTACTCAAATTCCAGCTTGCTGGTTCAAATGTCATAGCAAACTGGTTTGACAAACCAGATTTTTTTTCCTATTAAATTGGATGCATGAGAGTGGAGTGGGCATGTTTTCTGGTTCTACAGTACAGACAAGAATGACAAACTTTCAGTCATGTATTTCTCTTAGAAGGCATAAATCTAGGTCAAACTGCATGTGAAGTGTATTAACGTAGAAATTGATTATTTCTTCTGCAATCCTTGAGCATGACTGCACACAGTGTTCTCAGTTGCTTGTTGTCTAGTCTACCATTCTAACTTTTCATGAAGTTACATAAAGTAGGTTGATTGACTGATTTGAAATCTGAATTCTGTTGTGTGGGCTGGGGGGGGGTGGAGTCCCATTTTTGCCCTTATCAATATTGCCTTAATTAACTGACTGTTCTCCAGCTCACCACCTCCAACCCCAGTGGTGTAGAGTTATCAAAACATCTTATCACACACGGAAGATTGTAGAAGGGGTGGTGTATTTTCAGGAGGAGACTGAAATCTGTGCAAGTATTTCTCGCACAAATAGATATTTTAAGTTATGTATTTGAAAACAGGCGGAAAACACATTACTTAATAATAAATTAATCTCCACTGATGGGAGACTGCCCAAGAAACATATGTAGGCTGCATTGAGTTCTGTAGAAGAAAGGCAAGATATAAATTTACCTACATAATTATGATGCTTCATATATAGTCATTAGTAGTCATCAAAAGTATTCATAGAATCATAAGAGTTAGGGAGACCCTCCTAGGCCATCTCTAATTTAACCCTCTGCTGGATGCAAGAAATTAAGAGTTGAGTATACTCAAGAGATGGCTGTGCAGCCACTGCTTCAAGATCTCCAGTGAAGGAGAGAGAGCCCACCCCCAAGTAATTCAGTCATGAAGACTTCCATGTGGTATGAAATATTTCTGTAAGGATTGGAGAATGTAATACTTATCCAGAAGACCATAAATGTATTTCTGGAAGACGATTTGGGAATTTGATCTGATTCTAATATAGCTGCATTCTATTGTAACCTTATGATTTCACAGACACTTTCTTCTTTCTTCCGCCCAACTGCTCTTTCTCTCACCCTTTTCTATTCAAGGTTATCTGTGACCTGTACTGTAAATAATACGCAGGATAAGTAGATCACTTTTGTTACATCATATTTCATATGGGTTGCTATTGCTATCTCAATCTCTTCCTTTATGGTACTAAAGTCTGCGAAGCTACATTAGAGTTGGTAGCTGCCTGTGATGTGCAAAACTAGTGGCTTGCAGTTTTATGTCTAAGGTGTCAGGATTCTACTCTGCTCTAAAATCACATGAATTAATTAGTTGAAGGGTAAGCCTTTTGAGCATGTACAACTTTGAAATCTCGCACAACTTGCTTTAGTCTTTGGATGACAAATGGATTGTTATAGGTCACATTCATTAAATATGTGCTCTATGTTCCCCATAATGTTTTCAATAGTACTGCCGAAAGGAAAGCTTAAGATGCAAATTCTAGCAGCTGCCTTAAGAGAGCGGCTGAAAAATGAGCAAAAATAATGTCAGGGCAGTCTTTTGGAGAGATGAGACACAAAATCATACGCCTTTTTTTTTCTTTTTTTTGACAGGCAAGTGCTGAAGAGTTGAGTAATAAGCCTCTTCCTTGCAGGCAAATAGATAGTAGCAAGCAATGATATGTTTGACTTATTGGCACCAACCAACTCTCCCAAGGCTAGAATCTACAAAACCTCATGAAGTAAGACAGGAAAAGAACAAAGCTTAAGGCTGCAGTCCTGAATACACTTAGAAGGGAGCAAGCACAGAGGAACTTATATTGAGTAAACTGCACTGTTTAAATCTCCTCTACAAATTAATTTGCATGTTCTGTTGGATTACTTGATCAGTATTCAATTGTATGCTAGCTTGCATAGCATGTTAGAATATGGCATCTTTCTTGCATGTTCATGGATGATAGGCTGCATTTCGTCTCTTGTATTCAAGGCAATATACCTCTGAACACCATTTGCTGAAAATCACAAGTAGGGAGAGTGCTATTGCTATCAGGTGTTGCTTGCAGGCTTACCATAGGCATATATGGTTGACCACTATGAAAACAAGATACTAGATTAGACTGGCCCTTTGTCTGATCTATCAAAGCTTTATTCAGTTCTTTTAATCTAAAGTATCTAACACATTGATCCTCACAATTTCTACCATAGAGGTTGCCCAGCTAAACAGGTGTCAAAGGGCATCAAAAGATTGGATGTGATGTGACATTTATTCTGTGATTGAAGGGATATACAGTGGTGCCCCGCAAGACGAATGCCTCACAAGATGGAAAACCCGCTAGACGAAAGGGTTTTCCGTTTCGGAGGCGCTCCGCAAGACGAATTTCCCTATGGGCTTGCTTCGCAAGACGAAAACGTCTTGTGAGTCTCGCCATTCCCCCCCCGCCGCTTTTCCCCCCCCCCTTTTTCAAAGCCACTAAGCCACTAATAGCCTTTTAGCAGCTTAGCCGCTAATCCTTTAATAGCCGCTAAGCCGCTAAATCGCTAATAGCGCTAATCCTCTTAGCCGCTAATGGGGTTGCTTCGTAAGACGAAAAAACCGCTAGACGAAGAGAATCGCGGAACGGATTCTTTTCGTCTTGCGAGGCACCACTGTAGCTAAGAACAGTGAGATGGAGGGAAAAGGGAAGGATGATGGAGTTTTCTGTTAAGTTTTTTTACTGTGTTCTGAACTTTTGATATAAGTCATTTTTAATTATGAAGGTGCTAGAGCAAACAATAATAACTCTTCGGGGCTCACCATTTTGGGGTTTTGAACAGAGTGCGCCATGAATCCTCTCAATATGGCATGCTTTATTTCCTCTATTCAGGAAATAATACTGAGAGCCAGTGTGGTGTAGTGGTTAAGAGCAGTAGACTCGTAATCTGGTGAACCAGGTTCGCGTCTCCGCTCCTCCACATGCAGCTTCTGGGTGACCTTGGGCTAGTCACACTCAGCCCCACTCACCTCACAGAGTGTTTGTTGTGGGGGAGGAAGGGAAAGGAGAATGTTAGCAGCTTTGAGCCTCCTTCGGGTAGTGATAAAGTGGGATATCAAATCCAAACTCTTCTTCTTTATCTAGTACACAATAGCTTCATGTAGGCTGGTCTCTCCGAAGCCACTCAAAGGTGCAGATTCTGTTAATCTTAGTTCTGTTCTTCATGCTCACTTCCATTGCGTTGTGGAAATGTCTCATACTGAGTGAGTTTTAAAATACCTTCCCTCAATGGTTTCAGTGCTTTACCTCAGTCCTCAGACAGTTCTTTTTTAATTAGAGCAACTAAAGCTGCTGTGTCAAATGAAGTTTGTGGCCTCTCTGTTTTTCACTGCATTGAGCCCTGGCAGCCATTTTGGAAATGGCTCTGGCCTGCTTGGGATTCCCTGATGATCTGAGCCAGAAGTGAAAATCAGTCATCCAGAGTGCTGGCTTGTGATTCTCTGATTCTGCAGCTCACAGCCCGTTTGGAACTGTTAAAAGTTTAAATAAGACTTCATTTTGGAGCAAGCTTAGCTATTTTTGATTTTGGGAAGGAAGGAGCAGCAGATGATAACACCATATTGCCTCGGTGATGTCGCCACCCCCTTGACTGTTTGAATTTTAGTTGCAGAGATTGCATTGGCAGTGTAGATCATTTTAATCGGGTCGGTGAGACCCACTTCACCAATTGCAGTTTTCTATTTTCAAGTGACATGGCCGAAATGATTAGTAAACAGTAGCGATATCTTCGTTCTTAGTAATGCCTTAACCTCCCTTGAAAACCAACTGCAGTTTCTCCTTCTCAGCTGTTCATCAGACACTGCCTTGCGTGTTATTTTTCATTTTCAGTAGTAGTTCTGGCTTGTGAGAAAGTGTGATAATTCAGCATCATGTGTTGCTGCCCCCCAATGTTCAAAATCATTAGCTAGACATTCAAGTTTGAGACACTTTAGTTTTCATAACTTCCAGTTTAAGAATTTTTGTCTTTGATTCAGAACCAAAAATCTTTTTTAAAGGCATCTGCTTATGTATGTATTTTTTTTCTTTTAAGGAAATAGAGCTTTTCAGGGCTCCAGATCATATTTGGCTTCATAAGTCTTAAATTTTCCATCTGCTACTGGTGCTATATGACGTCCTCCTGATGTCTCTCTTGTTCACAGACATGTCGTAAAATTTGTGTGTGTTGATAATGTGTGTGGACTTTGTTTATCACAAAAGTTGCAAATCATAATCTTCAAACAGTTAATTTATGGAATTTGGTGCCCACCTTTTGTAGGGTGCCTTTTTTTGATGTGTAATATTTAATTATGTTGTTTTTAATGTATTTTTAGTACAGTGGTTTCATATTTTATAATGGACAAAGGTAGGGTTAGATGGAAGGCCACATGGTGAGCAAAGAGTGAGGAGGAGGATCAGTTCCATAAATAAATCAGAAATGCAACCTTTTTATATGTAAGTACTAGCCAGCAAGACTCAAATGTAACAGTATTAGCAGCTGCACAGGTGGGTTTCAAATATTGACATTTGTTTTTAACCTTACATTTACAGATAAATTTATTAAATGTTTCAAGTTGCTTAAAGAATACATTGACTTGAACAAATTCCACAGAGATTAGAGTTACACAATTGTTAGTAAAAGGGGCATAGAAAGCTGAAGTTGGGCCAGCAGCTCTTCCAGTTTCTTTGTTTTATAATTTTATCTCTCCCTCTTATGTAGGATAACAAGGAAAACAGCAATCTTTTGCCAAACAATGGAGACCATGGCCTGGTTCCTGGAAATGACAAATTCAAGCCTGTGTTACCCTGGCCTCACGTCGAAGGTGTGGAAGTAGACTTGGAATCAATTCGGCGGAGGAATAAGGCCAAAAATGAAGGGAATCCTCTTGGTGGCAATAATGATCAGCAGAACATCATGCAGCGACAGTATCTCACATTTAAGCCACAGACACTGATCTACCGTGATCCCGTATTACGACCTGGAATTCTTGGTAATTTTGAACCCAAAGAACCTGAGCCTCATGGAGTTGTCGGTGGTCCTGGTGAGGAAGCCAAGCCATATGTTTTAGGACCAGAGTATAAAGAATCTGTTCAAAGCAGCATTAAGGAGTTTGGGTTTAACATGGTAGCAAGTGATATGATCTCACTAGATCGAAGCATTAATGACTTGCGTCAAGAAGAGTAAGTACCTGATCTGCCTCTTCTTTCCCCCTCTTTTAATTGTGTTTTTGTTATGCGATCTGTACACTGTGACAATCATCTTATATGAATATATATTAGCGATAGTAAAGGAAAACAATTCAGCACTTCTTTTTAAAATGAGCTTTCCTTTTTCGCAGAGATGTAATCATGTGCATAACACTCCTACTGAAATTAGCAGAACTTAAAAAATGCATAACTATAGCTTGGTTAGTTCCCAGAAGTATTCTAGCAGGCATTCAGATAATGAGTAATAAATTACAGTTGCTTAAACCTTGATCACATTTGATAAGAAATCATTTTTCTGTGGTGGTTAGATAGGATTTAGCCTGATATTCAAAAGGCTTATGCAATTTTCCTACCCCCTTTGATCTGCTGGGTCTTTGATATATGACCCTTAACTCTCCAATAAGGCATGATGCCAGGTTCAGATGACCATATTGCCTTCATCTGAACCAGTGTGTGTTAGCTGTTGCAACTGAACTGTTTGTCTGAGGCAGGCTTTCCACTATGTGATCTGTGAACAGAACTCACCAGCTTGTACTTCTGCTTGTTTTTGTTCTTTGCATTTACTGTCTGTTACAGAATGTGTTCTTTCTGAGTGAATTCAGGGGAGAACAGTACAATGGCTCCTTTTAACAGTTATGAAAAACATTCTTCCCTCCATGTTTCTGTGGTAACTACTAAAATGTAATTGTGTTGTGCAAAGATTTTGTACAGAGTTCTCATTTTGTGTTCTCTGTGTGCGAGTGTTTGATGTAAACCATCAGGTTTCCCCCACTTTCTCTTACCATCAGTAACTTAAGAGCCTTAGAATTGGAGTTCTTTGCTTCTCTACCCTTAAAATGCATAAAACCTAAGAGAGACGGGGTTTGTTGACAAGGGGAGAAAACCCTATCCTCAGAAGATGTGATTTCCATATCACTTTTACTGTGCATAATTGTCTGTGAGAATTCTGTGCCCTCTATATCTTATTTCTGTCATTACTTTAGAACTTTTTGGAAGTAATAAGAAGGATCAGTACATTTTCATGATCAGTTTCTTTGACTACATAAAAGGTCTTATGATGTTGGCATTAATGTGATTTGATTGTGGTATCAATAAGGTTTTTTTTTCTGTAGATAGCATGATCTTGGCTTTACATCTAGATGGGTTGATTAAAGCAACCTTTGTTGCCTCTGCCGAAATATCTTACAATACCTTTGTACTCTATTCTCAGTCAATTTTATTTGCAGGTACAATCCTTTTCAGCAGTGTGTTTTGTATATCTATGAAGCACAGGTGGTAAATATTATTTATTCCATATCAGAACTGTCCCACTGCTTCTAATTCTAACAATGCTGCAGACCCTGAAGCACATTTGATGATTAAACAAGCAAGCAAGACCATGGCAGCTGTTCCTGAAACATTTGGCTGATTTCCCAAGCATATGGGCTTTCCCCCCTTTGAAATAACATGGCAAACATTTTATGGAGCTCAGGTAACATGAGAAACATGGTTTGCTGAGGAAAACAGTCCTTTAATGCTAGAAGAAGTTGAGAACCCTTTCATTTCTTGCAAAGTCCATTTTGAGAAACCTGTTAGAAACAGCCAACTTGATCCAGTTAGCCCATGGTTCCAACTAGCCTAGTGTAAAAGGGAAAGGGAAAGGTACCCCTGACCATTAGGTCCAGTCGTGGATGACTCTGGGGTTGCAGCGCTCATCTCGCTCTATAGGCCGAGGGAGCCAGCATTTCTCTGCAGATAGCTTCCGGGTCTAAGCCACTTCTGGCGAACCAGAGCAGCACACGGAAATGCCATTTACCTTCACGCCGGAGCGGTACCTATTTATCTACTTGCACTTGACATGCTTTCGAACTGCTAGGTGGGCAGGAGCTGGGGCCAAACAATGGGAGCTCACCCCGTTACAGGGATTCGAACCACTGACCTTCTGATCGGCAAGCCCTAGGCTCTGTGGTTTAGACCAGTGTTCCCCAACCTTGGGCCTCCAGCTGTTTTTGGACTACAACTCCCATCATCCCTCGCTAGCAAGACCAGTGGTCAAGGATGATGGGAATTGTAGTCCAAAAACAGCTGGAGGCCCAAGGTTGGGGAACACTGGTTTAGACCACAGCACCACCTGCGTCCCCCTAGCCTAGTGTAGCTTTCTATAATTAGGAGCAGCTCTCAGGTAGAGAGAGACATATTGTAGCTCTGCTACCTAAGGTACTTATAAACTTGAGATGACGGGATTGAAGCTGGCACCTTATATACACATACTTCATGTGTTCTGACACATAGCATTGACATTTCGCCATCAAAATATTAATATAAGAGTAAACGCTGTATAGAGGAGCATGCTCAGATATGTGTGACTTGATCTACTACAGGATTATGTGCAAACGTGGTGTCCTCTCACTTTTGGGGGCAGGTTAAACTGGTTAATTGGGGGTAATGGTATAGCTCAGTGATAAAGTGCATACTTTGCAAATGAAGTTCCTGTTTCGATCCCAGTTATCTTCGTCTAGGACTGGAAAAGACTCTCTCTAGCTAAGGCTGAAACCCTGGACGGTCATTGTCAAGTGTATAGACCAGGTGTGGGGGAACCTCAGGCTCAAGCATCAAATGCAGCCCACCAGAACTTACTTTCTTGCTCTCAGAACTCTTCCCAGGCCACGTGCCCCCTCTTCAGTCCTAATCTACACCCTTCTTAAGTACTCTTACATTATAGGAATGTGTCCTTGTACTGTGATGTCTCTTGGTTGCCTTTAGGGAAAATGAAGAGATGTGTGCTTTGCACATGTGTACGTAGAAACCTCTGAATTTTGTGTGGCTGGATACTGCCTGCAGAAGTAGTCACATCCATTGTCTCACTTTTGCCTCTGACCATGCCCCGTCCCCGTCCCCATCATATGGTCCCCAGTAGTTGCTTATGATGGAAAGCTGTTGTCAGGCTGAAAAACGTTTCCCATTTCTAATGCTAGGTAGCCCTAATTGTCTGAATCTGCACAAGACAGCTTCCTATACTTACAAACTTAATTTTGACATATCAAAAATGTTTTGTTGGGTACACTGTTTTGTGTTGGTGGGGCAGCGAAGGGTTCCAGGCTACAGGTCTTATTCAACTAAGCTTTAGGACTATTTAAATCATGATTAAGTTAATTTCAATGGCTCTACTCTGAGTAAAACTAGTTGAAAACCATCCAATGCTAGCTGCAGTTTTAGAGGGTTGATTCGTACCATTATATGTGTGGTGAGAGACTGTGATTGAAGCTTTCTTTACTATGGTATCTTAACGTGACCTATATAACAAAATGAAAGAGGTATCTGGTGTGCAGATGTTCTCATCTTCCCAGAGTTGCAAAACAGCAACAACAACAACAACACAGATGCTGTATGGAGACAGGAATATCTGATAATGTCTTTGCTCTGGCAGCTATAAAGATAAGAGCTAAAGTGCTGCTAAATCGGCAGCTTTGCGATATCAAGTAGAAGTACAAAAAAAATCAAGTAGAAGCACTAGGTGGCAGGATGCATTTAGCTTTAAATCAAAACCCAGTTTTAAAATGTATCTTATATATATGAAGGCTTCCTTGTTTGCAGTTAGAATCACTGTCCTCTTCATACAACTTAAATAATTATTAACACTGTACAAGATATATTGGAAGTGCTTTGAGAATTTTCACTACTGACCAATAACGTTTAATATCTTTTCTGAAGCTTGAACCCAATCCAAAACACAAAATGGGGTCCATCTTCAGAAAAGCTTTTCTGAGTCCTTTAGTACCTGGCAGTAAATAATAGTAAATAGCATCCACATCTTAAAATTCTGCTGTAACACTGCTCACAAGGGCAGAGATTGTCTGCACTTGGTAGCTCAGTGTTGTTCCCAATATCAGACAAGGTACTCTATAAAGTGTACTACCCTTGTTCCCACTGCCCAGTGTGGCTTTTTTTTAAAGCAAGGGAGAGAGTGGCAGCCCTGGAAAACATAATTTATCATCATTTTTAATACTGAAATTGTTCAGTCTGAAACATAATTGAGCTTCCAGCATCTTATTTTGCAGTCTTAAACTCTACCTTATTTAGAATAAGGTATATTAAATGATGGCTAACAATTACCTTATTTCTATATCTTTAGTGGACAAGTTGCTGATGTAACTTTATAGTACAGTGCTTAGTTTATAGTTGATGTTTAATATTTGCTTGCTGGTATTAGTTAGCAAACCACTGGATGTCACTATTGTTCTTTGCAATAGCACTTGGTGTTTTATCTGGTAGTTCTGTATCTGCTTGGGAACCTATTTTGGAACAACAGTAGGTCATAGCAATTACTGTTGGCTAACTACTGTTAAAGGTATATTTATACTCCATGTTGAAGGAGAATCAAACTTGAATAACATGTCTCGTAGAAGACTTGTATTATTATTTTTTAAGATGAACAAATAGAGCATTGAAATTATGGATTTTCTGAAAATTCTGAAAAGCTTGAACTTTGCATTTGAGTTTAAAGTGCAAGCTCTTAAGGGGGTGAACAAAAGGTTGTTGAGCTTTGTTAAAACAGATAATAGATGGCACCCTTGATAAAAGTGGGTTGTGGTGATGATAAAAAAATACACACTGAATTTAGGCATGTTGATATTACAACTGCAGGTCCCTTGTTAAGACTGAGAGCCTGGGAGCTGAAGGTTCATTCCTTCTTATTGCACCAAGATTCAGTGCCGCTTTTTACTAACTCGGTGGCTTTCATACAGGATATAAAAGTTTTAAAATTTGTTCAGTGGAATGATTTCCTATTTAGGAAGTTAGTGGGTTTGCTTGTTCATTGTGATTTCTACCTTGGAAGATACGGGTAAAAGATGCTGGCTCAGAGGCTAAATTAACAGACATTGGTAGCTATTAGTCAATAACAATTCAAACTGAATCTTGAGTCTGCTGATTAGGATTAAAGGGAGTTGTAGTGCAAAATATCTAGAGGACACTCATGTGTAGGCAAAGGGAATTCAACCTTTCCTCCCCAAAAAGAAAAAGGGCTGGTGTAACTGTGTTTCAGCTGAATTTTTCTTTGCTAATGGAACACTTGTGTATTCCCTTATATACTTCTCTTCATTATTTATCCTTGCCCCAAAAGAGATGCATTAGATTTATGGAGATTCATCAGATAAATGCACAGTTGTTACTAATTTATTGCATGAGATTCAGACTCCTTTTGGGGTAGCACTTTTATTGCAGGTACTTCAGGGGAGAAAGCCACATATATACCTTTAGCATCCCAGAGGGTTTACAACAACCTTGTTTGTATTTTAAGTGCAAGTGTGTATGCCACACCTATACACACAAACTTAACCACACATGGTTTCTCCTGTAATGTATGTGTGTGTGCACAGCTTGTAAGTGATGGGATCTTCAAGCCTGAAGCATCGAGTTGGAAGGGACCACAAGGATCATCTACTTTAACCCCCTGCAATGCAGGAATCTTTCACCCAATAATGTGGGGCTCAAACCCATAACCCTGAGGTTAAGAGTCTCATGCTCCCAACTACTGAGCTGTCTCTTAGGGCAAGTGTACTGAATGATAATGTACTGAAAAGCAATAAAACAGGAAATGCCACCAAAACTTTTCTTAGTGGGTGGTGTACAGAAAGCTAAGACTAGTTGATGCGACAGAAGCACCTGGTACTGCAAGTTGGCAGAAAATCATATCGGCCATGGGCTGAAAGAGTCATGCAAATTGGCCCCAATTCTACAGGCAAACTCAGAAAGCAGTTAGGAGCAGAATGGGTATCATAATGCGATTGCAGGTTATTGAGAGGGTGTTGCAACAGAGGGGAGGCTTATGACAATTCAGAAGAGTGAACATTCTGACAAATTATAGTTTTCTCTGTTGTGATTATAACAACCACGTGATAACCTTTCCTTCTGAAAAACTACATGAAGGAGAAGGCTGCAGAGATTGCTGGCTGTATGATGTGAAAATATTGGGATTGGTTTTTCCCCCTAGAAGGTACAATGTAACATCAAAATGTTTAAATTACATACAACTTTCACGTTTGTCCTTGTGGACTTAGGTTTTGTTTTTTTATGGAACAAAAGAATGTCTTAAACACGGTTTTCATTCTGAAAACTGCTTCAAGATCCTTCAAAAAGTAAGAAGCAGCAATCATTACTGTAAGCTTAGCTTCTAAACTAGCTTCATAATCATGCTGTATCCCGAGTACTGTGTATATTTTAAGTCCTCTCTTGGGGGTGGGGAGCACTTTAATTAACTAGGTGGTACGAAAGGGGTATTATAAGAGAATTTTCTCCAAATGGTCTTATTCATTGCAGCCATAACTAGTGCTCTAGTTAATTCTGTTTTTTCACTGATAGTGGTTCTGATAACAACCATGTTCTGATTGTAAATATTTCAAAAATGTTAAAATATAACACACATATCTGTTGCAGGTGCAAGTACTGGCATTATGATGAAAACCTGCTCACCTCCAGCGTTATCATTGTCTTCCATAATGAGGGGTGGTCCACACTCATGAGGACAGTTCACAGTGTAATTAAAAGAACTCCAAGGAAATACCTGGCTGAAATTGTATTAATTGATGACTTTAGTAATAAAGGTAAATGCATTTAATATCAATATTAAACCCAGTAAGAGCTGAATCTGTCATTCTACAGGGAAGTTGAACCAACATAAAGAAATACTGTGCTGATAATTCAGTGGTTTCTGCTCTTAATAAGAAACCAGCCTGCAGATTTAAGAATATTGATCTGTGGATAGAGTCGGTAGCATGGTTTTCATTATAGATCAGTTTTAAAAAAGAAAAAAAATAGCTTTAGTGAATTAATGTAGTTTGTTCTAGCCTATTGAATGAAGAAGCGTAAGTGCTATCACATTCAGCAAATATCTGTCTTTCTGTTTCTTTCAATGGAGACTTTGCAGAAAAATTCAATCCTTCTCAAAGAGTAATCATCAAATCTTCATTCAAGGCTACATCTGTTCAGAGATAATGCAAGGGTTCCCTTGAACAGGAATCAACTCTCTCCTTTCCAACATATGGATTTTTTTGACTGAAGGGTTTGTCAAAATGGATAGTGTAGGAAGCTTCACCTTTGCCTCTGTAGGTACTTCAACTGTCAACCTTGGATTTTCATTGCATTAAATGCTTATTACAGTAGCAGAAACTTTTAGATATAGTGTGAAATCTGTCCCCCTGCACACGCAAATTGTTCCACACACTTACTGAAAGTTTGAGATGATGAAGTGCTTAAGCTGAAATATGGGTAGGGGGTTGGATTCCTAACAGATAAAGTTAATGTAGATACAAATGAAGGAGCAGATAATCAGGGTAATATGTAATGCAAATGAACCAATATTCCTTCTATTCTGTGCTATCTTCCCCTTTATTTCTGATGTATAGAGAGAGAATGCTACTGTCCCTTATTTTCCTTTACAGCACCTATGGCAGAATGTAATAGAGTTGCAGATGAGCATCTTAAACGTGTGTGTGTTTGTGTGTGTGTTGCATAGTCCTAAAATAGCATAATGCTGAGAAAATGCTATAATCCACAGCAGTGTTTTCCTGCCACATTTGACTGTGGTAGCCTTAAATGTTAATAAAAGTCATGAGTGTTTTCTTGAAGGTATTTCATAATCTTTTTTTGCATCCACATCTGTCTTCAAATTCAGACATTACTAATATTTATTGTGGAGAGTGAATGCTACATCTCCTGCACCACCTCCTGGATTTTGTTGCCTATAAATGTTGACATTTTATTATGTGAGTTTAAAGACTTGATTATATTCATTTTTGGCATGTCAGAGAAGAGCTGTGAATGTGTCACTCACCCACAGTTAGTAAAGCAATAAGGAATACACAGGGAAAAACTGGAACACTTACGACACCAGGACAGCTTCCATTGTTACATTGCCTTTCTCATGTTATAAAACTATGGGGGGAAGTGAGTGGAAAAATTGCTGGAGGTTTGTGCCTTTCTGTTGTCAAGAGTCTATAGTATGAGTTCTGAACTTTTCCAGAGTTCAGACATCACTTTCTTAGGTCTGACCTTTCCAACATTAGAAGGGCACACATCTTTTCTACTTCCCTACATGTATTTTAAAAATCCAAGTCTTGTTGGTAGTAGTTTTTAAGTGAGGTTACAGTTGTTATCAGCAAATATGCCAGGCAGTGATTTATGTAATAGCCTTAACTTCTGAGTATTTAGATATTAAGTCAATTATATTTAGTTTGTTTTTAATATAGATTTAGTTTGTGTTGTAAGCTCTAAGCTAAATATTTTATAACAAATATGGAAACTTCTTTTTTATTATTTGATAGCACACTTAAAAGAAAGACTAGAGGATTATATTAAGCAGTGGAATGGCCTTGTAAAGATTTTTCGAAATGAAAGGAGAGAAGGTTTAATTCAAGCTAGAAGCATTGGAGCCCAGAAGGCTAAACTTGGACAGGTAGAAAACCATTTGCTAAATAAAACCCTTCTTTCCCTACAGTCTGAATTTTGCTTTTAACAGATCTTAAACCACTTGATTATTTCAAGTATAGTTCTTAATTGCAAAATGGCATATGTAGTATTTTAAAAGATAGCTATAAACTGATGTCAACGTACAATGCAAAAAGCTCAATTAAATCAATGTGTGTTTCGTGTAAGGAAATCTCAAAATGAGTTGAAATCTCCTTTCCTCTTTGTTTTAAAGGTTTTAATTTACCTTGATGCCCACTGTGAGGTGGCAGTAAACTGGTATGCAGCACTAATTGCTCCTATAGCTAAAGACAGGTAATAATAATCTGCTTATTTTTATACCTCAGAAAGCCTTTAACAGTAGCCTTAACAATTAGTAATTCACCCAGGGCAAGCAGCAGCTCTTTCTGGGTGAGTAACTTTATAGCTCAGGGTGGTCCAACATTCAGTCTGGGGGTCACACATGGCCCTTGAGGTCTTTTTTGGTGACCCCCAGCCCACATGCTGCCTTCCCAAAGCCGGGTAAGTGAGACGCTAGTTAGCCTAGTTAGTACTTTCTCAGCTTTGGGAAGGAGGTGGGAGGGCTCTAGGATCCTGCCAGAGCTTTGCGCTTCCTTCCCAAAGCTTTGCTTAGCTGGCTTTGGACAGGCAGTGCAAGGGCTAGAGGGGTCAAATTTTGGCATTGCTCTCCCCCCTCTTCCACAACAAGTCAATTGCGGCCTACAGGGTACATGTCAAAGTACTCTTGTGGCCCACTTGGTATGAAAAGTTGGGCCGCATCTTTCTAGCTCATTCTCCAGGCTGCCTGAATAGGCATGATAAAAACTTGCCTGCAGTGCTGTTCTAGTGAGAAAAAGAACTGCATTAAGAAACTTGATTTGTTTTTTAAGCAGTAAAACCAGTGTAAACATCTGCCAAGGTTTGAAAACACTAAATGCACAGCAGATTACACTTACTATGCAAAGTTTTTAATCAGAAAAGTTTTAGGGGGTTTGGTCAACTTGGTAAATTGAAAAGGAACAAAGTCTGGAGCAGTATACTTTGGGGTTCCCCCCTCCCTTATGGCTTTAAGGTGTTGTGGATTGTTAATGTGACCATATAAGCAAATCAAAGATACTTAAAACAAGGTATAAAATAATAAACGTCTGTTATGATAAATGTCTACATATGAGGATTTCCTCTCAAAAGTACAAACCAGAACAGTATTTTAAAAGTAAATTCTAGCATATGATGTTCTAACATACTCTTGGTTCTATCCCCCCCCTCCTTCCCCTTTTTAAATAATAGAGAACTGTAGTTCGGGTCCTACAGTAGGAGAGCCGATTCTGGCTTTGCCACCTTGCAAGCAAGAAAAGCAGACATCTTCATTTGTGAAATGTTGAAACACATGCAAAAGTCAAATGGTTTATTGCCTGGTTTTAAATCATACCTGACCTTTCAAAAACTCTTTCCAGTGGGTTTAAACCAGTGATGGCCAAACTAGGCCCTCCAGATGTTTTGGGACTATAACCCCCAACATCCCTAGCTATAACAGGACCAGTGGTCAGGGATGATGGGAATTGTAGTCCCAAAACAGCTGGAGGGCCAAGTTTGGCCATCACTGGTTTAAAACAAGCCTTCTGTAAACAAGACGACAGTCCTCCTTACTCTCAAAGCTTAGGAGAGACAAATATATTCATATTTGCAAAAAGTGAAACACATAGCTTCCATCATTCACCTTGATATTTTGTTATCAGAAATCTGTGAAGGAAGAGGTAGACTGGTGTGTTGATGTTTCTGCTTTCAGCATTAATGTATTCTTAAATAAATTTGACCTCATCCTGCTCATTCATAATCCCCACTCCCCTGCTTTCCTTCTGCAAGAAGAGCACTGTATGTATATGCTATATTTATTGAAGTTATATTGGAATAAAGTGTAAGAGATAGCAGATGACTTATTGGATTAGACAGCTTAATCTTCTCTCTTCCCCTTCCATAAATGTTTCAGAACTACATGCACTGTGCCTCTAATAGATTACATAGATGGGAATGACTATTCCATTGAACCACAGCAAGGTGGGGATGAAGATGGCTTTGCCAGAGGGGCCTGGGACTGGAGCTTGCTATGGAAGCGTATTCCATTAAGCCACAAGGAAAAGGCAAAAAGAAAATATAAAACTGAGCCATATCGGTAAAGAATGCTGTTTCATTCTATTGATCTTTATAACTCATGCTTATCTAAATCCTTTCATTTTTCCCCTTTCTTTTCCATGAACCATGTGATTCGTTTAAATGTGCCATGTACCTGCTTTCATCCTCACCGCCACCATCCATAATCCTGCAGAACCACATGCACTGTGCCGCTTATAGATGTCATAGATGGCAACACTTATAACATTGTACCCCAAGGGGGTGGTGACGAAGATGGGTTTGCTAGAGGAGCATGGGATTGGAGTATGCTCTGGAAGAGGGTGCCCTTGACCAAACGTGAGAAGGAAATGAGAAAGACAAAAACTGAGCCGTATCGGTAATCACTAAACCACTTACACATTTCTCCTTTTCCTAAGGATGTACTGAACTATTAAATATTTGCATGAACTCTCCAGACCTTTAAAACAAAGCTAACAAAAGCAGATGCTCTGTGGAGATACATCGTTCTTTTCACTAATCTGTGGTCAAGCTCTTCTAACATAGCCTTACTAACTCCTTTTGCTCTTCTGTGTCTTGTACTTATATACTCAGTTCTTTCAGCAAAATGTAGGGTGGCTGCTAATTGGATTGTTTAAACGAAACCTGTGGTCTGCCATTATACCTTGATTGTGTTAGAAATTGCTTAGTATCCTTATCAGGTGCTGTTTTGTCCTGCCCGGACAGGTGAACTGGCATATGGAACTAATTGATAGATATTTACAGAAAGAAAATGCATCGTCCATGTGTCTTTTGTCTAAGTAACCTGTTCTTTTAATGGCGAAGGGAAATGTTATGTTTCTCTGAATTTTTGCCTTTACCTATAAAATGATTTGTTCAAAAACAAAATTTGGCCAGAAAGGACTGAAATTTTTCTAATATACCTACTTCTTCACCTAAACTAACTAGGCTGTGATTCTGCTTTGGTTCACTTACGCTTCACTAATCCTGCAACTAGAATCCTTTTCATTTCAAAATTTCTTTTTTCCTGTAACCAAAGTAAATGTATTTTTGTATTATTTGAATATGCAATAATGCCATTTTAAGAATTCTGCTACTTTCATTTTACTCTCACTTTATTGTATTTTTGTAACTAATATTCCAAATCATTTTCAAGAAATTATGAAGCTTTGGACGACACACACAAATTTTTGCTCCCGGACATAAAAAGTTGTAGGTCCTCTCACAGAAATGAGCATATTTTTTGCATTCATACACCGTTAATAAAACAGTTCTAGGAAGGAGGAGGAATCAAATAATTTAAAGTTAAGAGCACAACAGAAATTCATCACTGTACATTTATACTTACATTATATTTACATTTTCATATTTTTATTAGAATATTGACACTGGTTAATGCATGTTATGCAGGTTTTCACACTGGCATCTGGAGAGAAACCTAGAAACCTCCAATACCACTTTTTAATAACATAATCTCTAGTCCTTATGATTGTAGAGAGAAAAAATGGGTTTGGTTGATAATGGCCAACTGAACCAGAACATGCTGAATGTTTTAAAGACCTAAAATGGTACATAAAGAAAAATTGTCATTGTTCATATTTGTATCCCATCTTTCCTCTGTTTTATAGCATACATGGGTATGGGTTAATCTAAATATTTTTAATAATGAATTGAATTTTGTTTATACTGAAAGAAAATATAGCCCAGCATCTTAACACTTTGTTCTGAGACATTGGTTAACTGCTTACAGTTCTGATAATGTCCATTTGGTTTGGTTTTGACCTTTCAGCTGTTCTGAACTTGACACAAATTCTTGGCATATTATGAACCATTTCTCTACAACTGCAAAAAGACTAGGAGTGTTTTTATGACTGTTTTATGACATTTAAAGGCAAGCAGGTCATGGAGAAAGCAAGCCTCCAGCCCAGTTTTTTTCCCCCATTCTGGATCACAGCCTCTGTGACTGCTTATACATTAAAAACAACAAGTGTTGGGACTAAATCATACCAACATTTAGTCTGTACCTTACCCGGTACCTAGGATTCCAAAACGGTTTAGCCTGTTATCTGAACTTTGGAGTTCAAACAATTGCTATAAACTTTTTATTAAACACCATTAAAGCTTTATAATTTCTACCTATCAAAAACAATTGTCAGTTGATTCCTACATATAAAAGGGATTCCTTCTGGCCCATGGCATACAAACTGTTAGTTCCTCTTCTCGTTCCTAGGTCACCTGCAATGGCTGGTGGATTATTTGCCATCGAACGTGATTTCTTTTTTGAGCTGGGTCTCTATGATCCAGGTCTACAAATCTGGGGTGGTGAAAACTTTGAAATATCTTACAAGGTAAGCAACCATACCAAGAGTTGATAACTATCATATTTCAAGTAAATATGTGACCATCAGTCAGCTCAGTTCTTACAAGTTTTTTTTGTTTGGTCCAGGGACAGCAATACTTTCCTTGTTTTCCATCAGCCAACTCCTGATTAGTGCCATACAGACAACTATGTCTTGCTGCACTTATTATGTTTATTGCTTTTGAAACTGTGGGGCTACACCTTGTTTTCTGTGGGGCTTTTCATTCTCAGATGTACCTTTCTCAGCAAGGCCATAATGATGCCAAATTCTTGCCTCTTCTCTGAACCAAAGACTCAAAACCACTAGAGGACACATCTGCCTCACATTTTGACACATTATCTGTTGACTCAGTGGTTGCTAAAGTAAAGTCTGAGACCTGATTTTATAGATCAATAAGGGTGTAGGTTTTAGTCACTGGCACCTTTTTCATGTAGCCCAGTTTTGCTTGTAATTCTGAGTCTAGAGCAAAATTGGGTTGAATTATTTTGTAGCATGGATAGCCTCTGAATATTAGATGAGAGAGCTTCAGGTTTGGACATGCTACATTTCAGCTTTGTTGAAATGACATTGATACTATAACAGAATTCCTAGGGACTAAGCACCACTGTACATAGTAGGACCTGCTTCTGAGCAAACATGCATAGAAGGAAGATCTTAAGAAATATATTGGAAATCTTAGACCTGTGCCCCAGATGTGGCTTACTGGGTGGGGTAGAGCAGCTACCACTAGCTTCTTGGTAGATGGGTCGTTGTTGTTTACTGGAAGGGAGAGGGGCCAGGTGGCAGGGAGATTGGCCAACCTCCCTGCCGTCTCACTTCTCCGTCCCAGAAAGCAGTTCACCTGCTGGGAAGCCAGCATAGGAGCTCTGCCCCATCGGCCAAACTGCTTGTGTTCTGCTTTGTTAAATGATCCAGAATAATATGAAGTTCTATGCAGCAAAGCAAAATGTTTTGTTTAATGCCTCCTAATAGAGAAAGAAGGTTTGAAATCATACAAACGATAGCTGAGCTTACTGCAGTTTAAGGGATTTACAAATACCACCAGCAAATTCTGAAAAAGTGGTTAAAATTGCTCAAGGTGTTGAAGTGAGTTATTTAATATTTCAATTTAAAACTTAATGGGCACCCTAAAATGACATGTAATATTAAATGAAATTAGTTCCTAATATTATCTACGGATATAACTTCTAAATTGAATGCAATCCAGTTAAGAAATTAGGCAATTTTCAGTGGTGTGCACTAATTATTTGACATTTTTTCTTTCAAATGATATGTAAGGGCTCCTAATACTAAAGGACGCTGGTGGTGGTTATTGACATCTTGCAATGATGCTGAAAGCTTTGAAAAATAATAATAGCTAGTACTATAATTTAATGTTTACAAGTGTTTTATGAGATTTTGAAATTTGTGAATGTGTAATTCTCCCGTTCTCATCTCTTTCAACATATAAAAACCTGCAGATTTGGCAATGTGGAGGGAGGCTTCTGTTTGTGCCTTGTTCTCGTGTTGGACACATTTATCGTCTCCAGGGATGGCAAGGGAATCCACCTCCAGCATATGTTGGATCATCTCCTACTTTAAAGGTGAAATTTTATGTCTTTGTCATTTGATTGCTAAATTAAAAATCTTAGACACATTCAAATCTATACCTTTTTCTCTTCCCTAGATGATGAGTTTTACTCTAACTGAATGAAAGCATGTAATTTGATTAAAAAAACCACACACACCTAACAAAAAAAATTCCTTCCAGTAGCACCTTAAAGACCAACTAAGTTAGTTCTTGGTATGAGCTTTTGTGTGCATGCACACTTCTTCAGATACACAGATATCTGAAGAAGTGTGCATGCACACGAAAGCTCATACCAAGAACTAACTTAGTTGGTCTTTAAGGTGCTACTGGAAGGAATTTTTTTTGTTTTGACTATGGCAGACCAACACGGCTACCTATCTGTAACACACACACCTAAGTTAATCATGTGTGGTGGTGCGTGCGTGCGTGCGTGCATTGGTGTATCTGTAGAGCCACTCACTAATCCCATGGTTTCATAACTGGATAACCATGTTGAGAGCTGCTCAGTGTTCTTCACCTCCTAACCAAAAAGAGCAACATTTTATTTTATTACTAAATTTGGGAGCTTTTAAATTATACCTGTATTCCTGAAGGTGTCTTTATTTTTTAAATATAGAAAAGCACTCACGTAATACCAGCATTTTGTTCAATTAAAGTTGATATAAATATGAATGCTGTATAACAATTTTCCTTTAACGTTCTGGGAAATGAAACTACAGTGTGTTATCAAAAGATTTACCCACAAATGAAGTGTGTGCGCACATAAAGTGATAAAGAGAAAGCCTAGACACAATTACCCATGCTCTGGTAAACTCTTGTTTGGGTTATTGTAAAATGAATTCGGTATATTTTTCCCCACAGAACTACGTCCGAGTTGTGGAGGTCTGGTGGGATGAATACAAAGATTACTTCTATGCTAGTCGTCCTGAGACAAAAGCACTAGCATACGGTGATATATCTGACCTGAAGAAATTTCGTGAAGATCACAAGTGCAAAAGTTTTAAGTGGTTTATGGAAGAAATAGCTTATGATATAACTTCTCACTATCCTTTACCACCTAAAAATCTGGAGTGGGGAGAGGTAAGTACAGTGTTTTTGCAGATCCATTCCTTGATACAAGTCATTATTTCAGGTGTCCTGAGCTACAGCAGCCACAAAGAGTCTATTCCCCTTGTTCTTCCAGTCCAGAATTAATTATAGGAAGGACTAGTGTGTGCTGGAAAAACAAGGGGGATAGGAATCTCTTTGTGGCAATATTTAGGGAAGGAACCAGCACATTCAAATTCTAAAACTGTTTAGTTTAGATCTGCATGAATTACTTAAGAGTCCAGGGCTTATGAACAAAATAATAAGTTGATGTGAAATCAGTCCAGATTTCAATATAGGAATTGGCAAAAAAAAATATTTGTACATATGTACATTTAACTCGAAGTTGACTGGGTTAAATGTGAACAGTGGACACAGAGAAGATAAAAAGTTGCAAGAATGCAAAAAAAAAAGTGACACTGTTTAAGTTGCTAGCATGAAGATGGAAAAAGAAAGAAGAATCCAGCTCCTACTTGATTATTTTTCTCAGTGTCGTAACTTCCTGTGTGCTAATCTGCTACTGACTCACTTGAAAGATTCGTTATCTCCTCATTCACTCAGCAGAGCAGGGAGAACTCATCTTCCTTGCTCTGGCATGTGTGCAAGCTTCTAGCGCTGCTGATTTTCTCCCCTTCTCTGCCCCCCACCCAGTGCGCACACTGCACCATACCCAAATCTGCTCCAAAGATTGGGTGAAACTCCCGTAACAATGTTAGGGAATATGCAGTGGGGGGAGAGGTACCGCCATACAAGGAAAACTCCTTGCAGAGACAACTGAAAGATTTAGCTTTATGTGGAATACAATCCACTAAACTCTCCTTGCTAACTACCGTGTGTGTGCGTCCTATGGAGCGAATGCAGGCTCCTTGGCTTCAGCGATAGCAACGCGAAGCCTCCAAAGCGCAGAGGGAGTGTTCCCTCCGCACTCCGGAGGCTACGCGTTGCTTTCGCTGAAGCCTGGAGAGCGAGAGGGGTCAGTGAGCACTGACCCCTCTCACTCCAAAGGCTTCAGGGATAGCCGCCTGAAGCCTTTGGAGCACAGTGGGACCTCGCGCTGCACTCCAAAGGCTTTGGGTTCCTTTTGCTGAAGCCGGGAGAGCAAGACTACTGCCAAGGAGCTTCTGCCAAAGCCGCACACAGCCTCTCCCGGCTGGATGGATCCCGCTCGCTATCTTGGCTTCTTTGCTCTTTGGAGCGGGGAGGGGATACGATTTTTTTTCTTGATTTCCCCCCCTAAAAATTAGGTGCACCTTATAGTCCGGTGCGCCTTATGGAGCGAAAAATACCGTATATTTACTTATAGGAAGACTATGTACCCCAAGCTCCAGTTCTGCTGTACCTTTTTGTATAGTATACCAAAAGGGTGCCCATGACATCCATTGGTGTAGCGGATTTTTTCCCTTCTAATAGTTATCAGTATTCTGACTCCAGCACATTATGTTGAGGTCTTCGGTGAGCTGTGTGTGTCATTTCAGAAATATCTGTACAACTACATAATACTTTTTTTCATAAGCAAGTTATTAGCTTCCTAATTTTATTTTGAAATGTTTAGCTACAATATAAATTATACATGTGTTTCAGATCAGAGGCTTTGAAACTGCTTACTGCATAGACAGCATGGGGCATTCCAATGGGGGCTTTGTGGAACTTGGACCATGTCACAGAATGGGAGGAAATCAAGTAAGTAGTCTCAAAGCAAGATCTTTGGAGTGCCAAAAGGAATGACAAAAGATTAAACTTTTTGCCTGTGGATTTTCCATCACTGTAAACAGTACTAAATTAGTTGAAGCATAACTTTACAGACACACACACACACATATACACACACACACAGCGCACATTGGGAGCTGTCATGTGTGTGAAGGCCACTACTACATTATCAAAATAAAATTATAAATCATATTACTGAACCACCCTGGGTTCCTTAGGGAGGAAGGACAGGATATAAATTAAATAATAACCATTATTTTTAATTGTCTTACATAGGGAACTGTTGCGGATCACAAAAGCTTTGTTGGTGGCTCAAATTTAGATACTATTTGTGCTTATTTCTACATTTCCTCTGCAGCCCCTTGTACCTTCTGAAAATCTGCTTGGGGGATTAGGGGCTCCTATGGGGCAGCTTTAGGGAGAAAGGAGAATCACCAAAAAATTCTGCCACCTCCCCTCCACCAAATGGATCAAAAGCTTTCTGTAGATGGAAGGAAAAGGAACCTTTCTGTTCATGGAAGGCGAAGTTTGAATCTAATCCAAGTTGTTATATTTTGGGTATATATTGTGTGTTGTTCTAAACTACTTTGAGTGCAATGTTTACCCCCCAAAAAAGTGGTATACAAATAAAGTGACTATGACTATTATAAATTTTAGGATAAAGCAATCTATGAAAACTTAAAAACACATATTTGCTAGGTGAAGTCCAAATCTATATTCATAACATTTATTCATTTTATTTAAAAGCATTTCTAGACAGCTTAATATGTTAAAATCCCCAAGGGGTATACAAATAGAGTCTAGCGTAAGCGTATTTCCAATCAGTGTCACCCAGCTAACAGTGAAATTTTCCATTGGCAGAATGAGAACGAAAGCATTTTTTCAGCATTTCCCCCTGCAGCCTCCTTGTGACTTCTCTAAATCTGCTCCAGAGAGACCTCCAACTCTCTGGAGCCAATTTAGCAGGGTGCTGCTTCGGGAAGAGAGAATTGCTGAAAATTGCTTCCTCCCCTTTCCAGCTCATGGGAGCCTCCTATCAGCTAAGCATGAATACATCCCCATAGTCAGCCTTTCATGATGGGAGTTTCAGCAACATACAACTCCTTTCTTCTCCTTCTACCATCACTTCATACCATAGCTGATGAGTTCTGTTGGGATTCAGACCAGTAGCCCTGACCTCTGCGATTCATTCAACTCATTACTGGTATTGAAGGCTAGTTTGGAATGCCGATGTTTAAATCAGAAGACATGTGTCCAAATCTGGCTTCTGATGAACAATGCCATTTTCCCCATTTTGGCCCTAACATTTGCTCACAGTTCATGTTGTCTGACCAATCCAAAACATATTGTAAACCTCTAAGAGGCTTTATTACAACCAAGTGATATGTTGTTGTTGTTGCTGTTGTTGTTGTTTAGTTGTTTAGTCGTGTCTGACTCTTCGTGACCCCATGGACCAGAGCACGCCATATATTAGTTTTGTTAAATACAGTAAAAATATTACGATTATTGGTGCTCAGCAAATTTTAGCTCCTTCCAGTTGCACAGCTTACTGTTTCCAAATCAAGAAAGCAATATTGGACCCACTTAACTGCAGATGTAAACTATACCTCAATCACTGATAAGCGTGACCACATGACAGAGCATTGTGACGGACCTTGTGTAACCTTAGGTCATGCTGGGACTTACTTCTGAGCAGACAATGTACTGTGCTTGTCTGTAAAAGTCCCTTGCCTTCAGTATACTTCTAAAAAGCAAAATACAAGTATATTGAATAATTGTAATATTGCTTCTGAGCAGTATCATTTTTAACATGTCAGTTATTACTTTATCATTTCAGCAGTTACTGGTATAAAATATATAGTGGTTTTTAATGTTATATTTTTTCCTATTAGTTGTTCAGAATTAATGAAGCCAACCAGCTCATGCAGTATGACCAGTGCTTGAGTAAAGGACCTGATGGCACCAAAGTTATGATTACACACTGCAATCTAAATGAATACAAGGAGTGGCAGTACTTCAAGGTATCTACTCAGTGATATGAATTTTCATCTTCTCTTGTGAGCAATCTGTGTACTGAAGAATCTTATAATTACTTTTGTTGCTTTCAATGATGGAGAAATAAGATTTGGGGATATCTGGCAAAGTTTTTCTTTCAAAAGTATCCAGCTCAAGCAACAGTGCAAAGTTTATTTTATTGTAAACATAGGAGCCATATTGGAGGACACAAAAGATGGAAACTTAAGTGCACAGATGAGATAATATATCTTACCTCTTTGTTGGCACTTTCTCATCTTCTCTTCTACCAGAAAACAAATACATTGGGATAGACTAGCCAGGGAGTATATACAGAACTTAATTGACCTCTAGCAATTAATGAACAGAATCTCTCTGAGCACGATCAGGTGGATTTCCTTCCCAGCTGAATGAAAACAGCTCTTCCACCCTCACCTCAGGTTGGGAGTCAAGATTCACACTGTCTCAGCTATGAATATAATTTCCAGAGAGACTTGAGCCTAAACATATAGAAGGATGGGGGCAAGGGAAAGCATGTTAATAGGATCTGGGCAGGGGGAGAACGAAGGGACACAAGAAGAAGAAAAATTGCTAAACTGGAATACAGAGGGGGCGTTAAAATGATATTAGGTAAGAGTGGTTGATATATTGTCTGAGACATGACTGGGGCAGGGGAGCAAAGAAGGGTACAGGAAAGAATATTGGAGTAACTGATGGCCTACAGCACATAGGGGAAAGGTGACCAGGAAAAGAGAGTGTTGATGTTCTCTCCCCCCCACCACCACCTTCCCTTTGTAAATACATTTCGTAACATCTAATAAGAGGTAAAGGGACCCCTGACCATTAGGTCCAGTCGCGGATGACTCTGGGGTTGCGGCACTCATCTCACTTTACTGGCCGAGGGAGCCGGGGTACAGCTTCCGGGTCATGTGGCCAGCATGACTAAGCCACTTCTGGCAAACCAGAGCAGTGCACAGAAACGCCGTTTACCTTCCTGCTGGAGCATACCTATTTATCTACTCGCACTTCGTGCTTTCAAACTGCTAGGTGGGCAGGAGCCGGAACCGAACAACGGGAGCTCACCCCATCATGGGGATTCAAACTGCCGACCTTCTAATTGGCAAGCCCTAGGCTCTGTGGTTGAATTATGTGGAATCTGAGGGGATGGGAGAGATCACCAGCCCATGCCTTTTGAGCAGTTGATTGCGGTGACCTATCCCAGACACTGTGGCTTCAGAAACTGTTGTGTCCCCCCCTCACACCCCCTGCTCAGAAATTTAAACCCTTAGTTATATATGAGCAAGGTTACCACAGATACCCTAATCATCTAATGAGTTGATATCTGCAATATCTGAAAGGGTTTCAGATAATGCAGATATCAACACATTAGATGATTAGGGTATCTGTGGTAACTTTGTTCATATATAAATAAATAAAATGTATTAATCATTTTCAAGGCAAACCATATAGCAACTGATAAGAACAGTAGTTTCAGTAGGACTTTGCAGATTGTTCTTGGGAAGTAACAGCTTTTTGCTTGCTTCTTGTTTTGCAGAATCTACATAGATTTACCCATATCCCTTCAGGAAAATGTTTGGACCGTTCAGAAGTTCTACACCAAGTGTTTATTTCAGAGTGCGACTCAAATAAAGCAACACAAAAATGGGAAATGAACAATATCCTTAATGTGTAGACAAAATAAGCCCAGACCTACCTATGACAAGTTGAATTCATATAGGACTGAAGATAGCCTGAAAACTGCTGCAACTATTAACTTCGTACAGCTGCGAGCCTGGAACCTCTTGATCTAGATGAAGGACGTAGATGGACAGTGATAGATTTATCAACTTGCAGTTGATGTTTACAAAAACTGCTCTTACCTTAAACTTTAATAGATGTTTACATCTCTCTTTTTTGTTTCGTTTTTAGGATGTTTTTGTTTTATGGTGCGTTAGTTAATAACTGAATGTGCTTTTGACTTTGTTTCTCTTTTACTAGGAGCAAAGCTAAAAGCACCAACTTGGATCTGTAGCGGGAAGTTGTTTGCAGTCATGCAAAGGGTGCTTTTCTGCACCATCTTCTGGTGACAGCCTCCACCCCAAAAGCCCCTCCTGATGGCTGGAGGAACTTCTGGAATGGCTTTTTGAGTGGCATAAAGGGCTGCGAATTGGCAGCTTCCCATGTGTGCATAAGTGCCATCCACTTGCGCACAGGCAGGGGAATTGGATCCAAGCATGTTGTTGTCTTCTTTGGGATTACACTCAGGGGTCTGCAGGCAGTTTTTATTTTTTTAAACACTCACACTTGAAAAAGGTTGGAGTAACCAGACTTTGCTATAACGTGGTGATTATCAACCTGTTGTACGTTGTTTTGATTTTACATCTTACCAAGCACTGCCACAGGTTTTTTAGCCAGGGTGGCCTTCTTTCACAGTCATGCTGCTTTTTTGAAAGGTGAATTTTCAATGTATTTAGTGCCTCTTTAATTTTTCCTCTGTAGTTCACAAGAAGAAGAAAAATCATCATAGAACAAGTTAGTCAAAGTGTCTCCTTTTTTAAAATAGGGATGAGTTGGTAAAGCTCTTGTGGTTTAAGATATTGCCAAATTTACAATAACACTCCTTATTTCATATGGTTAAGGGCAACAAATTGAGACACAAGTCATAACAGGGATACTGTGAGAGGAACCTGAAATAGTGATGCTAAAGCTTCACTGGAACCTTTGGAAAGAAGGTTGTAGTTAGTATATACTTAGTAGCACTTAAATCCATGAGCCACTTGCGTAAAATAGCATTGAAGTAGCTTACATCTTCTGTGTTACAGTATATAGCTGAAACTGAAATTTAGCACTAAGTGATGCATTCAGTGGAAGTGAGCACTCCAAATTGCAACTAAAAAAAATTCAAGCACTAACTTCCCTGCTGTATCATGCCTTACGAAACTTCTGTATATGTCAAAATTGAAATATGTGTACATCTGCACAATGTAGAACAGTAAAATTGATCCAATTCACTTTCCTTGTGATAAATGGGAATCTCAGAAGAACTGGATTAAAAAAAAAGAAATCAAAATTATTTTACAAGCACTCGGCATGTAAAGGGATATTGTCAACTAGCTAAAGATCCATATATAGATTAGAAATGAGCAAATGGGAATTGAAGGTGAATTCAAAGGCTCTCTTCCTTCCTCCAAAGAATTAGAATGTTTAAACTTCAGGATTGTGTTATGACTCCAAATTATATAATGACGCCATGGCATGAACAGAAAATGGAAAGTAAAGATACTGAAAAGATAAAAACTAAGGGAAAGTTTCTTAAAACATTTGTGCTGAATATTACCCTAAACATGGCGTGGGGGGGGAGATAATAAATGATACCTGCTTCAATATTTAATCCAATTCAAAGGCAGAGATACTAAGAGGTTTGGTATTAGTTTCTGGCCCCTTCTGTACAGTTAGGCACATCTAAATTCTACTGAAATCAGCTAGGTTCATATGCATGTGACTCTGCAGGATTTTTAGCTCAAAATTAAACTCGATGATTTGATTAAACTCCCATAGTATTAACTCCTTGATCTTCACTCAAGCAACTCCTAAAAGTGAGCAGTGGAGATGCTTCAGTTACAAGGCCAAATCTTAGTTTAGGTGTAGCTTAGTGTTCTGTTATAACATTTAGTAAACCCAAAATTCTGGCCTTAACAAAGGCCTGCTACATATAGTTTGGAATCTTTAATTATTTCTTTGGTGTTGATCTTTTGGGCCTCCTCTGAAAGGTGTGAATAATTAAATTAGAAAATGGAGGAAGAAATAAAAAGGATAATAAGGGTGTGGGTACATTTTATTGTTTGTATGTATGAAAACAGATTTTCATTTTCTTTGTTGGACAGAGGTTAATTTAATCACATTACTATGCATAAATGAAAGATTGCACATCGATTGTATAGGAGCGTGTGTTTATCAAATGGGTATTGTGTGCAATTACATTAAAATCCAATACTGTATGTGAATATGGATCTGTATTTTTAAACTCCAAATCTTACAAAACAACATAAGCTGTTACTCCTAATGACTTTTCCTACTGTAACCTGCTTTTTGAAAAGTAGATTCCATATCCTTGCTTTGTAAGTTGATCACTATGCATTTCTACACATTTTATAAATTTGATTTATGCAGATTTTGATACACTGTATGTTTCTGTAAAGACTGTATAAATCTTCAAAAGTTTTAATAGGGATGAAACTTGGGTATCTTGTGTATATCTTAATTCTGGGTTGCTTGTTTTTTAGGTGAAGAAAATAAATTATAACTTGTGGGTTTATTATATATTTGCACCAAAAACTTCTTTTTCTAATCATGTTCCTATTGAATCAAAACGCCTTTAGAGACTGTACGTGTAGTGCATACGCAATTGTTAAATAGAATCCTTTCATTTTTCTTGCTTGTTCCCTAACATAAGTAAGCAATCCTTACTCTCAGCTAGAGCAGTGAGTCTAAACAGAGCCAGAGCCACAGCAGCACCTGCAGGTCTGCTTTTTGTGCTGAGTGTGGCAGGTTGGGAAGTAATAAAAAAGTTGGGTTCCTGTGTGCCAGCTTCAGCAGAGCAGTCCTGATAGGCCATACCTGAATCAGATTAGCATCCAGTGGATCCTTGAATGGTCCAATTCCATACACAAAATGCCCCATTCCAGGGCTTTCCACTGGTGGGAATACCATTGTTAGTAGCTTCTACCCACCTCTGTCTTTGATAGGTGCAGTGGTGGCCTCAAAGTCTAGATGAGCTCAACAGAATTAGGTGGCGAGATACTACCACCACCTTCTAACCCCTTACGCTACATCAGATCAGGGGTTAGGATTGCTCTGCTTATCTTGTAGGCAATAGATAATAAATACTGCATATTGGTCCACCTTATAGGCTCAAGTAAGTTAGCTGCATGAGGAAATTCCTGGAAAAAAGAATACTGCAATGAAGATGTTCACCTACAAAAGCTTATAGCATGATTTCTCTTAAGTGATGTGGCTAGGTTTATGATGCCATTCTGCCAACCTAGCAGTTCAAAAGCACACCAGTGGAAGTAGATAAATAGGTACTGCTACTGCAGGAAGGTTGACAGTGTTTCCGTGCGTTCTGGCACTCGTCACGCACCAGCAGTGATTTAGTCATGTTGGCCACATGACCCAGAAAGCTGTCTGTGGATAAATGCCGGCTCCTTCGACCTGAAAAGCAAGATGAGCCCAGTCACCTTTGACTGGACCTAACCATCCAGGGGTTCTTTACCTTTACCTATTCCACCTATTCCACAGAGGACGAGATGGTTAGACAGTGTTCTCGAAGCTACAAACATGAGTCTGACCAAACTGCGGAAGACAGTGGAAGACAGAAGTGCCTGGCGTGCTCTGGTCCATGGGATCACGAAGAGTCGGACATGACTAAACAACAATTCCGCATCTGAAGAAGTGTGCATGCACACGAAAGCTCATACCAAGAACTAACGTAGTTGGTCTTTAAGGTGCTACTGGAAGGAATTTTTTTTGTTTTGACTATGGCAGACCAACACGGCTACCTATCTGTAACTGGAACTATGGAAGGCACCACATGGAGCCGCATGAAATGGAAGTCCATCTTATCTGAAGAAGTGTGCATGCACACGAAAGCTCATACCAAGAACTAACTTAGTTGGTCTTTAAGGTGCTACTGGAAGGAATTTTTTTGTTTCAACAATTCCACCTTTATGGCAGTTTTAGGAAAGTGTTGAAGCCTTGAGGATTCTGCTTCCAGATTCAACTTTTCTGAAGATCATTATAAAAGGAAGACATTTGTTCCTAGCAGAGTTCAAGGAAGATATGCCATGCAAAGGTTGCTTTCCTTGTTGTTTTTTTTAAAAACCTGCTTATTTTTCTTAGTTTCCATATTTTGAGTGTGTAAACAAGTCTAGAAGCAGAACATTTTAGGCCAACCAATACTTATTCCAGTGTCATGAGGCAACTTGCCAACTTTTAGGATGCACTCTTCCTCTTCCAAAATTTAAGTAACACTGCAAGTCCAGCAGGTCAGATCAGATACCCTCGAGCAGCTATGCTGTGCACAAGATTTGATGCAAGTTGTAAAATCCTGCAGTAGAATGACTGATTTAAATTGTATGTGGGGGGTCATATTTTTGAGTGCTCTAGTTAACACATCACTCTTAACAAGTAGTAGCAGCTAGCAGAGCAGGAAACTAGTTCTTTTGTTCTGAACTTTCAATAAAGCATCGAAGTATGGCACACCTTCACGTATAATCTCAAATTTAGTCTTGCCACCTCATACAGCTTTGTGCACAGAGCAGATCTTATGTAAGAGTGTATGCTGAAGATCATTTAAATGCTATGGCATAGCTATTCTGAAACCACTGAACTTTTGAAGTGGCATGTAAAACAGCCATACCAGTAGCAGCACCCAAGGCCTAGAGATAATATTGCCAGCACTATTCACTGCCAGAAACCTTAATGCTTTGTATCTAACTGTATCAATGCAGTAACGAGGGTTAAAAGTAGGCTTTTCTATGTCAGCCCAGGCTCTGTATTGAGGACCTACAGAATACAAGGTCTAGCTACTACAAAACAATATTCTTAAGTTAAAACTAGGAAAACAGTTTCCAAGACATGAACCAGTAACTTTGCATCATTAGAAAGCTATGGAAATGTATTAATGTAGTAGTCTTGAAGGCAATAAATCAGCCAAATAGTTACATTTTTCATTTAAAAGATCTGATGTAAACCTCAGTGCCAACTAGTCTTGCACAGGGACAGGAGACCTTTTCAACTTTGTTCCATCCCTTTTGTAGGCAACCTTATAGGGACTGCATGTTTAGCTGGAGGAAAGTGAGTTGTGTACAGAAACTGTTACTTCCCAGCCACAAGAGTGTCTCCGAGCAAACTTAAGTATTACTGCAGTTCAGGATCTCTGTTCACTGACTGATTCCAGTCATGCAGAAGCACTCTAGGAGGGCATGGAGCAGATAACGAAGCAGCATGACTTGGAATCTGGAGGCCATTTAAATCCCAGGCCTGAAGTTCCCCAATCCTAGTCTAGAATCATGTAGTCTTTACACCACTACCTATGAAAGCTTAATGCAGTAATGGCTCCTGTACTGCACTATATTGAGGGGTCCCCTAGCTACAATGAGCCAGTTTTAATCTCCCAACATCCCCCAAAAGCTTCTGGTAAAAAAATACTTTTTGGAAGACTAATCATGCAATACAGTATTTCTGGACAACTTTGTCAAAAGGAAGGCCATGTATCTGATTTATAGGAATTAAGTGTTTCCTTATACAACTATGGACCTGACACAAGCAGTATTTGTAACTTAAAATGGGATGCCGCCAACACAGAACTCAGTGCAGCATATTTCTAAGCACATTTTCAAAAAGGTGCACTTCATACTACAGCCTTAATGGGGGCTAGCATTAAGGGAGAAGCTTAGGGAGTTAAGTGGCTATTCCTTACCTTCTACATGTGCCACACTAACCTCAAATCAAGCAACATCCAAAACCAACCCATGGCTGTATCATGCCATTGTTGAACAATAAATCAACTCATCTCTAATGTGGCCAAATTTGACATTTTAATTTTCTCCTACAGACTTTTTAGGTCTGAACTTACACAAGATTTTTCATACTACAAGCCCCACTTCAGAGTACCACTTTAAGAGGCATGTGATACACAGTCCTAGTTACGCAGAAGAACATTTGCAATGCTGTACAACTGGGAGTGGGGAACATCTGGCCCTCCACTTGTTCCTGAATAACTACCATCAGCATAGTCAGGGAAGGGAATTGCTGTTCAACATATAAAGGGCCACAGGTTGCCCACTTCTGCTTTATGTGAAAGTTGCTTGTAATTACTCCAGTCTCAAAAGTTGCAACATGAATTAAGTCTAACATGGCTTCTCTAAGTCAGCCTTCTCCAACCTCATGCCTTATTAATGTTCTGAACAAATGTCCTTAAAACCAGAAAGAGTAAACTGTCGAGGAAAATGAGTTGCAGCTCAAAAATTTTTGAGCGTACCAACTGAGAGAAGGCTGCTTTAAGGTTACCTTACCCTTACCACAGGCATATACTATGATTTCCAACAGTTTAAGCAAATTAACACTACAGTATAGTAACAAGAATAATGTACATCATTTTATTACAAAATTGTTAAAAAAGTAATACAATGCAATAGTATGCAAGACAAGGTTGACTACCAATTTTACTACCATTTTTTTTAACTCTGCTCAAAATCAAGCTGTCACTGAATCCAAAGAACCATTAAATATGCCTGAACATTTGACAATATCAGCTTTTAAAAATCTAACAGTAGTGGCATTCAGCTACTACTTACATTAGAATACAGGTCTCCCTACAATCACATTACCTATACACAATTCTGTACAGTTTTTATACTGAAGCTAACAATGAGCTGCACTCGACTTCACATTCTTAGCAAAATCATTGACTTTTGAGCACAAAATCTTTACAGCAGCTTTATAACTTCACTCTTCGTCTTCATCTTCCTCCTCCTCCTCATCTTCCTCCTCTTCTTCGTCTTCTTCCTCATCATCATCTTCTTCAGGTTCTACTTTCTTCTTGGAGCCTGCTGGCCTACCTGGACCTTTCTTTCCTGCATCACCCTTCCCCTTGGCACGATATGCTGCAACATCCTGCAACAGAAATGCAAAATTTAGTTTGAAAAAACACATCTTCAGAAAGATAAATTGGGATTTCTTCCCATTTGTTCTTTGGGTTGCTTCCCGACACTTTCAAAACATGCTCACAGCATCTATCACTCTGCCCATGGCAATCATCCTTGCTGCCATGTCCCTTGACAACAACATATAATGTAAGACTATGAACCTTAAAAACAGCAAGCGATGCTACTGGAAGACTTTTGCTTTTTACTGAAACCAGTTACTTTTGCATAGTTTTCCGCCAAGGGAGCTGTTTCTTAGGCGGTCTTTCTAGTAGTGTTCTCAGGGCCAGTACCATTTAGACTCACCAGTAGAAACTGTACCCTCAGGCTATTTTCTAGGTCATTACTGTACCAACATTAACATTTGCCAAATAATCAACAATTATTTTCAGTTGGCAATTCAAGGTCCCAAATAGTAAAACCATAATGCACATGATTAACAGAAAACTAAAAGGAACACATTACCTTCTCATACTTCTCCTTTAGTTTTGCTGCCTTCTGCTCAAAGGGCTGTTTGTCTTTTGCTGTTTGCTCAGACCACATTTCGCCTAGTTTCTTTGCTGTATCACCAATAGACAAACCTGGGTGGTCGCTTTTTATCTTTGGGCGATGCTCAGAACAAAACAGGAAGAAAGCAGATCTACAGGATGAACAAGGACATTGTGTCAGACAACTTGGCATGATTTCAGATTAAGGGGACGATAGAAATGTTCCACATTTTGAAATTAACTTACATGCAGACCAAAAAATCATATCTTTGATAAACTTACGGTGGTCTTTTGGGGGCATTGGGGTCCTTCTTCTTCTTCTTCTCCCCTTTAGGAGGAATATAACTTTTCATCTCCCTATCATAGCGAACTTTGTCACCCTTTGCCATGTCTTCAAACTTGCCCTTTTCTTTTGCTGACATTGTCTGTAGGGAGGGGGGAAATGAGTGTTAAAACCACATATATTTAAGGTTTGGGGGCCTTGGCAACAACCATCCACTAAATACTGAGAGCAACATCTCCACATATTATATACGTTAAGAAAAACTGCAACAATATACTGGAAGTCAACAATAAGGCAGGCACCATATCCAAACAAGCCAATTTGTTTTTTCCACTATGCTACTTCCTATTTTTCCAGATTTGCTTTAAATCCTTTTGTTTAGCTACAGACACTAGAAAGGAAAAAAATGAATTCCTGCCAAACAATGGTTGTAAGAATGAGTTGGGACTTACAGAATTCTCATACAACCGATGAGCACAAGCATTTATTACAAGTCCAAGAATGGGCAAAATAATACTCTGTTCCTCTCAGACCACAGAAGACATTCCTTTTCCAATACCCCAGAAACTGCCTGGAACAAATATACACATATCTAACATTTATTAATATTTCTTGCTGATTTAAAATGGGGAAGGCTTAAGTAAAACTACACTGCCAAACCTACAGTTGGTATGTGAACCTCCTCATAACATATTCCAGTTCCTTTTAATTGTAGTTTAATGAGAATGTGAAGGAAGCAAGGGCAAGAAAGTGCAAACATTAAGACATTCCAGTAGGTGGCCATTTTCAATCTGCTTAACTTTAGCAAATTTGCTTTTGTAAGCTATCCTGGCAATCTGCAAATTTGTCCCAAAGAGCTGAGGAGTTCAAAGAGTATTATGGAAATACTCAGAACATCCAATAGTTTTTTGTAATGTACTGTAATGAAAAGTGAAGCATTTTAACGTGGGGAGTAGGAGACACAATTTGGCAAACGCGGTTTGGAAGTAGCTTAAAAATGCACAGCAGCCTTTATTGTTGCAACATTTCAAAGAACTCTCCTTACAAATTTACGGGCGGGGTTTCACCATGCCTTTTTAAAAACATGCTAACAGCCTAGTAAACTTTGAACTTGCTCTATTCCTTCCATCCCCGCTTACAAAACCCAGCCGCTCCTGCAACTTCGCACTGTTAGAAACTGCGGCCGCCGAAAAAAGCTCGGCAAGGGGGTGGAGGAGGAAGGGAAGCTGTTTATCAGGCGCGCCCGCTGGCAGGCCCGACTCCAGCTCCGTTCCCGCCTTTTAAGTCCTTGGGCGGGCGCGAGCAACTGCAACGCGCGCCAACGCCGCTGGGAGGGGGAGGGGGGAGCTTGCTGGGAGGCGGCGCCTAGCCGAGCAACGCCAGGCGAGGCAGGCGGGCGGGCCCTAGCTGGGCCTGGCCGAGCCGCTTCTTGCTTACCCGCCATTTCTCGGAGCATTTCTTGGAGAAGTCGGAAAAGTTGACCGAAGTGTCCGGGTGCTTCTTCTTATGCTCCTCGCGGCACGTTTGCACGAAATAAGCGTACGAGGACATCTTGCCCCGGGGCTTGTTCGGGTCGCCTTTGCCCATGGCTGCGGCAACGGTCCCTGATCGGTGGGGAAAGCTGGGTGGGTTGGGGGGGGGGAGGAAAAAAATAGGGAGGGAAAATTAACGAGTAAGCAACGAGGAAAAGAGGCAGTGGCCGCTTACAATGAGGTTCGCATTCCGGGCCTTCCTCCCCTGGCGCCCCCCCCCCACGGCCTGTGGCGACACTTTCCCGCCCAAACTACTTCGCCCCCCCTCCTCCGCGCCTCACCACCAACCGCTCTTTCGAGGCTTCTTCACGGGCCTCGGAGAGGCTAGAAATTCATTCCTCCCCTCGCGCAAACTCTTTCCTGCCCGAAAAACCCCGACGCCTTCGCCCCCTCAGCCTGCCCCACGGCTCCCGGGTCGCGTCCGCCCCAAACAACCCAGTCACCGTTTCTCAGCCGCGCCCCAGAGCTCAAGCCGCCCCAGCCCCGCTTTTCTAAGAAAGGGTGGGGGTAAAAATTACACGTTTGTGGTACTTAGCCCCTCGCCTGGTGGAGCTGAGGAAGAGAAGCAGCGGCCGTTGGCGACGTCGAGAGAGGGGGGTCAAGGAAAACGCGCAGATCACCTTCCTTCGCCGCAGTCGAATGGGTCGTTTCCAACGCACTTGATAGCCTCTTGTTTTCCACAGCCCTACCCGCCACAGCAACTTTACCCGCAAAGCTCGCGGCGGGGCCCGCCCCTTAAGCTCTCCGATTGGCTGCCCGGCTGGTTTGAACCTCGTCAAGCCTCGCCCCCGCGCCTTTCGGAGCAGGCGATTGGCTGAGGGCTCATGCGACGCCGCCAGCAGAAGTCGCTGTGTTCGGTCGAGAAAGGGGGCGGGAAGAAAAGAGGGCGGGGGGAGGGGATTGCTTGCGCTTCATACCCGTTGAAACCGGTTAGGGAGTGTGGAGAGAGTAGGATTAAGAGCGCGCCTCCGATTGGAGGGCTGGTAGGGCTGGAGGGAAAAACCCGCAGAAACCCCTGCCATTGGCCAAGGCATAAACCAGGAGTTGCTATTGGTCCGAGGAAGGTGAAATCGCGTGGTTTAAAAATACAAAGGAGGAGGGGGAAGGGAAAAGAAGTGAGAAAAACAAGAAGAGCTCCAGAGAAATAGGGGGAGGGGGGAACATCTGCGGGTGGCAACAGTTTTACTGTGTTTGAGAGGGAAGGAAAACAGCTCGGGCGGGAGCCTATATGAGTTTGTGCTTTGCTCCTTGTTGTAAAGCTGTTGGAAGCTGCACTAGCCTCTGGCTTTAAAGAGAGGGCTGCACAACATTTGCCCTTTAAAAGCGGGCGGGGGAGAGAGGTCTTGTCCTCAGTTGTCCATTCAGTCCGACTTCGAGGGACCTTGGACGCCCAAGTAACCGTGCCCAGGCTCGCCGGCCGCCTTTATCTATCGCATGTTTACTCAGAAATTACTTTTGTCTTCTGCAAACCTCGCTCTGGCTGGAGTGAGGAAGCGGCTGCAAATCATCCGTGTAGATGATTTGCTGCCTTTTGAGGAAGTACCTCACACCCCTCTTCGCCATTCTTGCTATAGCAGATGTAAAACGGGTGCACGCCTTGCTTCTTTCCCGTGTTCCTGCCGAGCCTTCCCTCCTTTACTTGCTTGAGGCAACTTGAAAGTTTTCGCATTGCCGTCGCCACCTGTTGCTGCTTCTCTTCGGGGCTTCCACGCCGTCTGCCTCATGGTCGCTTAGCCAGCTGTCCTTTACTGTAAAAGGCTGTTGTCCCATAGTCTGGCCAGCGGTGGCTGTCCCTCATCGATCCTCTTTAGCCCCCAAGCGGGGGGGGGGATATGTTTTTTGAACAACTCAAAAGCAGAACAGCCCCTCGTCGTAACTTTCAGGGCTGTTCTTGTGTATGGGGTGAGGAGGCACGTACCTTCCCCACTGAACCATAATTGCCAGAATTCATTACTATTATTATTTAAAAGGATTAAGTTTCTATTGATTGTAGAGCCTGAGATAATAGGCAAAATCTACAGGCACCTTTCCCCGCCCCCCCCCGCCCCAGAATACCCTAATTCCACCTTTCATTGTTTTACTTTGCTCCTCCTCCTTGAAAATTTTCTACAGGTGCCCATGATTGACAGACTCCCTTAAACATAAAGAAGAGGCATTTGATACGCACACTTACCTACTTGTCACAAACAAAGGAATGAGTATAGCATACATAGCATATATTCCTCAAGAAACCCATGATCATGGATATAATGTGCTACTCCCCTAAGGCTTGTGTTAATCTTGTGTTATAAGACTATAAATTCTAGCAGTAAGGAAGAGCAACTAATGTTGCAACAAGTTCTGATTTTGCTGAAACAGAGAAATCAAGCCTGCTTATTTTTTATTTATGGTAGCACTTAAAGGCACAGCACCTGGGTTGGAAGGGGGTGGAGGAGAGGAAGCAGCATTTTTAAAACTGTTAGTTGGTAGTTTAAAATTTTAATGGCTGATCTATTAGAGTACAGTACATATCTAAGTGGCTTTTAAAAGGGGGTAGCAACCAGACAATTTCTCTCATCCATTAAATACAAAAACCAACTATGCTACTGTGGTAGGACTGGGGCTTGTATTGATGCTGGTTGCACAGAAAGGCCTTACTAAGGTGCATAAGGTGAGAAAGGGTTTTACTACTATGTCTTACCCTCACACATGGCTACTATCCTCCTCTTTCCATGCACACTATACAGTGGTACCTCAGGTTACATACGCTTCAGTTTGCAGACTCCGCTAACCCAGAAATATTACCTCGGGTTAAGAACTTTGCTTCAGGATGAGAACAGAAATCATGCTCCGGCGGCGCAGGGGCAGCAGGAGGCCCCATTAGCTAAAGTGGTACTTCAGGTTAAGAACGGACCTCCAGAACGAATTAAGTACTTAACCCGAGGTACCACTGTACCTTCAAAGCACATCCTTTCCCTCAAAGAATTTGGGGCAATGTAGTTTGTTAAGGGATGCTGGGAACTGTAGCTTTGTAAACTACAGTGTCCAGAATTCCCTGAGGAGGGAAATAATGTACTTTTAAAGTATGGTGTGTACACATTAAGTCTCAAGGGGATTCCCCACCGTGACATATTTTTAAATCACTTAATGTTCTTTTATAGAATATGAGACAGCAGAGCAAGGGAAACTACCATATTTTTCGCCCCATAGGATGCACCGCCCCATAGGACACACCTAGATTTTTTTGGAGGGAAATAAAGGGGGGAAAGTTTATTCTCCCCCCCCCCCAGGCGCGGGGCTTGCGCGGTGGTAGCTGCCGGGCGCGCGAGGCTTGCGGACATCTGCCCGAAGCAGACTTCCCACCGGGCGCGCGAGGCTTGCGGATAGCTTCCTGAAGCCTGGAGAGCGAGAGAGGTCGGTGCACACCGACGCCTCTTGCTCTCCAGGCTTCAGCGAAAGCCTGCATTCGCCCCATAAGACGCACACACATTTCCCCTTCATTTTTGGAGGGGGGAAAGTGCATCCTATGGGGCGAAAAATACGGTAATTCAACAAGTAACCATGATTTGTGTTCCCTGAGTGAGAAATGATCCACGAATGCAACACTTCCTAGCAACAACTTTTTATACCACAACCCTTTAAAGTTTCTAGGTTAGGCCCATGCATTTTCATTTGCTGCCTCTTCCTCAACTCACTGAAAACTGCTAAAACCACGATGCATTGTTGTTCATTCCCAAATGGGAAATTGTTGTTTAATATCAGTTCACTAACTAAGATCTTAAACCATGTATGTTATTTAAGACTCTGGTTAGAAAACTGACCTTAAAGGAGCATTCCGTATTTTGGAGTATTGTCATTTAAGTTAACCAGGATTGGTGGGCTGCTTGGAAGAGGCAAGGGGGACCACATGTTTCTGACTATTGTTTTCAGCTTCTGTGATCACACTCCCATTAACTGTGCACTCACTGCATTTCCAGTGCCAGGTGTTTAATCTGTGTTCACAGATGTTATCCAAAATGTGTATGTATCTTGCACTTTATTATAAAGTACAGCCTCCCCCGCCCTTAATCAAGTCCAGCTGAGCAATTAGCCTCTCCTAGAAGCAGCTGGGAAGGGAGAAGAGGCGTTCAGGGATTATTTTAAAAAAATAATTATATAAGTTGTGTGTGTTTCATATTAATTAAACTCCCCCCAGTATACTAGTGTACTTGCTTTAAAAAAAAATCAAAGGGCATTTTTTTTTTTGGTAGCATATGCATTTTCATATAAATTGATATAATTATGCATTGCACGGGTATTTTGCAAAGAAATAAACTAACATACTCTACATCAAATTAACCAAAATAGGTTTTGTCAAGGTATTTGCCACTGGCGTAAAGTAAAACATGCTAAGGTTGCAATGCTTTATATATATAATTGGCATATCTCCAATTAAACACAAGTGGGTCTTAACATGCCTAGGATACATAATGAAATGAGTTAGATTTTTTAAATATAATATCTATTAGTATAAGCATTCAAATTTCCTATGGTCCTCAAGTCCTTCACTAGTAAATTTTAAAAGTAATATTTAATAGACCTAGGCATTTAAAGGCTATGTGTGAAGAAAACTTTTTGAAGTCCCATCAGATCTTCTTTTTTAGAAGTATTCTACTTTGCTGTACTTCAAAACAGCAGCCCTGGAGCTGTGATTAAAGAAACAGGCTTGCTCTTTATATCCTGGCACTGGGATTAAGCCAGATAGTTTCTTAAGGGAAATAGTTTCATTCTGCCTTTATATTGTGGTTTCCTTCCCTGCAGAGTTGAAGCCATCACTGAAAGATTAGAGTAACAATAAGACAGTAAACTATTCAGAAAGAATCTGTCTTTTGCAGCAGAAAGTGCTAGCCAACATTTGGCACAGTAGCTTTTGGAAGAAGAGTTATATGGGAAGTGAATATAGAAGAATTAATCTTCATGTAACAGAATGATCTGCTTCAGGGCACAAGTTGCTAAAGAATGTTCCTCTTTCAGATGGTTGGGGTAGAAAACAGGGAAAGCAAAATAAACAAGGGATGAACATAAGCAAATGCTGTTACACATACTTAGGCTTCATCTCAGCCAGGAATGGGGGTTTTAGCACTTACAAAGTATAGCCATGAAATGAGGTAAGAAATGAGATTCTGAATTTAACTTCCAGTTTGGAACTCTGATCCTAAATGTGACTTTCTAAACTTATTTGCTTCAGTGGAATCTACTTTCAATTTTATTTGTATTTCCAACCTTATTGCTACAACTTTTAGAGTTAACCACCCCACCCCAAACACTCAAAGAGTTTAATGCTTGCATGGGTAAATGCATGATTTAAAAGTCTAGTCTGTAAAATTAGTATTCCTAATGCAAAGTAACATTTGAGTGACATCCAGCAAGTTTTTATTTTCCTACCAGCACATTGCATTACTAACAACCCTTTAAAATTGTTCAGATATAGCAGCTGGTTAAGAAAATATTTGCATTCCTCCTGACAACAGTAAACTCTTGGAAGCATGTGTTCCAGGATGTATACTGACTCTTGTTGTCTTTCAGATCCAATGCAGACATTGGTTTGGAGTTTCCAGGGAAACATTTGTGCCAATTCTAAAAGGCCCTACTGTATACCTCAAACATGGGTTGCTTGTGTTGCAGCCAGATGCTATGGATGTAACTTGGGCAGTCTACACCCATCCTTCAA